GAAGCTCAATCATGAAGGGGTAAAAATTTGATGCAGTGTTTCCTAAAGACCAATCTAGAGGCAGACAAGAAAACCTTTTTAAAAAGTTAGCATCTGTAGCTCCAGTGTCTCTCGCATAACAGGTAGGGATGCCCCGAAATTTCGGCCGCCGAAGCATATGGGCTGAAAATGGCAACTTTTGGTTAAATGCCGAAAGTGCCATCAATTGGCCAAAATAGTGGCACATCCCTGCTTTCTTTCCTCCCACACCGCTCAGCCTCCTGCAACAGACTAGGAGGGGGGCAGAGACAGCTGTCACAGGAGGCTGGGCTGGTGATGTGGGGAAGGAGTCAGCTGTCGGAGATGATCGAGCGCCGCTCGCTCCGCCTCCTGTGTCAAGATGGAGAGCGGGTACAAGCACTTGGCGATCAGTGATCGCTGAATGTTTGTAAATAATTGAGGACATAGTATGTTTACTGTGTCCCTAATTATGAATGGGAGTGATCTACATCACTTCCTTTTCATTCATGGTTGTGGACATGGTAAACTCTCTCTCAGAACATCAATGTCTCCAAAAAATTCACTCACAAGTTGGTGTGTTCATATTTATAATGTTGAAAAATGGGGGGGGTTTACATGGCACTCAGTGAACTATGAAGTGGCTGCTTCAATGCTTAAGTTGGTTGCTGCTGGATACTGGGTCACTGAAAAATGGTCCTAAACAAGCCCCCATTAAACTCTTACTCTGCCCAGCATACCTCAATTGTTATTACTTTTTCTTAATAGTACCTAGGAGGCTGGCTAACCTTTCTTCACTCCACTGAGGTTTAACTAATCATTTTGTTTGCTACAGAGTGCTTTCTGAGTCTAGAGCTTTGGCACAGCCTGGGTGAGAACCTGTGCCTAAAGACTTAGTAAGCCCAGATGAGCTGAAGCATTGGGAACAATCTCACTGCTGCACCCTTTGGGTGCCATTATAATTCCCCCGCCACAACAGGCTTACCAAGATAAGGTTTAAGGCTGAAAGATTGAGGATGGAGAAAATATGTTGGGGCAGTGTTCCGCTCTCCCTTTCGTGCCATGCAGCCTATAGGAAGCATCATCCTGAAGTAACATGTGGTTGTCTGTCAACCTAAAACCCTCAGAACCTGTGACCTAGTCTACTCTGGACTTCCAGTCTGTCTGTGCCCCGTTACTGGAACAGTCTTCCACAGAGACTAAGCATGCCCCTGCAGCATATCTGGCAGGGTTTGCCACTGATCCTCCTGAACCCAAAAATCAAGCTGCGTTTGAGGGCCCGGTCTCTGATCCAGAGTCAGAACCCCCAACAGTCCTCTGGAGAGGCTGATATTGTAATGTCTGTTGATTACTCAGATTTAAGGGATTGTCTCAAACCTGATTGATGCAGTGCATTCTACCCTGCATCTGGAGGATCAGCCTGCTATTGCAGACCTAGGGCTCTTGCAGCTCCTGCTACCTTTCTGCTACAGCCACAGTTTGAGTCCTTCCTCTATTAGGACTGGAATGCTCTGCAGGGTCCTGAGGCCCTCCTGAAAGGTTGTCCTAGCTTTTACTATTTGTGAGGGAGCTTCTTAATGTGTGGTGTCTTGCCACCATAGATGCACTTGTTATCCGTAGTAACTGGCATGTCTGCAAATGGCTTGGAGGTGTTCTCTCCTTTTTGGGATTTTACTAACCAACAACTAAATTCTCTCCCAGTCCCAGTTTGAATTGACTGGAGTGACTCTAAAAGAGGAATCCTCCATCACTAGGGAAAGCCATCTGATCATTGAGAGATTGGAACTAATGTCTGAAGCCTTCTGCTTCTGTTGTGATGGTTAGTTGCAAGCATCAACATTTTGTACAAATGTGTAGGATACTACACTGTAGGATGTACAAATGTGTTGGATACTCCTGGCTGTGTGTTTTGGGATGCTGAGGATGCATCAAAGTAACAAAATAACATCTGACTTGGTTGCCGTTCAATGGATGTTATCACTTTTGGACCTGCTCTTGACACAGTCATTAGCAACGCCCCCCATCAGCCATGGCAAGCACCTACCTCAATGCAGCAGGGCTGCGGAAGGGTCAGAGAAACCCCCATCATTCCTCTTCTACTGCAGCTATTGTATGTGGGCATTCAGAGCCTTTTCATTTCAAACTGCAGGTGTTCCAACTCTTTTGCATTAAGGTGTGCCCCAACTTCAAGTGGGGGGCTATTTCTTTATCAAGCTGGGTCCCTGGGCAGAGTACCTCCCGATGTTCAGGTCATCCCTTGGGGCTTTCAGGCCTAACCCCTGATCTTAACCTCTTCTGTAGCTGTCCCTCATCGGTCTTCTGATATGATTTGTTACCAAGGGCAAATCTGCCCATTTCTCTAGCTGTCACTAAAAAGACCCCCTTCTACTGGACCTTTTGCTCTTCACTACATGTCAAGGAAATTACCCCCTCCTCCCACTCTGAGGCATGCAGGGTGTCCTAAGAATTCCTCTCCTACCATGATCTTTGCCACCTTCAGCCTCCCTTTCTGTGTTGAGTATCTGGGATCTAGGAGTGCCATCTAGATGATATTTTTGGATCAAGAAGGGAAAGATGCTACTTTGCAATCTCTGGATGGGCAGAGGAGGGGGTGGCTTACAGCTGTTTGCCAGTGTCCCAACCTCCTGTAGGTGGCAGCATAACCAACTGTGATAGAATTTGTGTCCCTCAATAGAGTACAACTGAAATTGTATGGTATGTACAAAAATCTTTTGTTCTCATGGTTGTATATCTGCAGTTTTATTGCTACACTTGTCACTGCACATAGTTCACATGCACCTGGTGTCCTTATTTACACTTAACATAAACATAAGCATTCTTCTAGTATGTTCCTAAAGTAAAGGATTGGAAAATTATGACTTTTTTACAATCCAATGGTTTTCAATACACTTTTCTAAGATTTTTGACAGGTTTGTTTCTTAATGCAGATATGAATGGTAGCATTCACTTCAGTTCGTTAACAAATGGAACAGCAAGTAATGGACATTGTGGTCGTCCACTCAGTGAAATGGAAGCCAACCCTGTCAAGTGCCTCCAGTCGACCAACGGATACAACACTGTCGCAAATGGAAACAAAGAGTGTGATGGGAGTGGAACATTTATGGAAAATAGAATTGAAGCTGTAAATGTATCTTCCTGTGGCTCTCTGCATAATAACGGGAGTCCAAGTGATCATGTGGCTTCTAGACCTTCCTGGGGTGAGGGGATTGCAGATATCTTGCAGTATGGCTTTTACCATGGGTTTGGAGACTCTGCAGAGGGTTTACCTGAGCACAGTAGTGTTGTAGAGCATTCTGATTCAGTCCATGATGAACAGCAGTATAAACACAGATTCATAAGCACACTTCATCAATATCAAGGATTCTGAGATGACAATCTTTGTTAATTTTTTGTTCAGTACTATACTTGCATTTCAGTTCTAACTCCATACATTGAGACGGGCTTGTTATGCAGGCTGGTTGTTTAAAGTAATATACACCAAATTATTTTCTTTCCACCTTCCCAGTCAAAAGGGTTAATGTCTAAGTTTAAGGCTGGCCTAAATCGTGAAATCTTAGTGCTGTGGTAATCTGCGTTCCAGAGGCAACATTGGATTAGACGTAAACATCAAAATTAACCTTAGACATTCTAAATGATATTTAAAAGTTTCTACTTTCAGAACTGAAAGGTTTTTTTTTTCTTCTGTTTTTGGAGCTAATGCATTTTAGTATACCATGTGTAAAATGTTTAGCTTCAAACAGGTATTTAACCATTTCCACTCAACTAGTCATATACTTGTTTATGAAAGTGTTTAAATGTTGCCATCCTGTGCAAATTGACCACTGCTTCAAATGAACAGAAAACAGTCAAAATGTAAACAACTTCCCTAGTGTAATGTCCTTGTTACTGCATGATTTATATTCCTAGTACCGTCTATTCAAGTGACTTCAGCAGATTAATATACCGGTTCAATGGGATGATAATTACTTTTCCATTGTAGTTGACAGCCAGCATGTAAAAGGATATATCTGTTATGTGTTAATAGGCAAGTTTATTGCCACAGATGGAACACTTTAATCTGCCCACTGCAAAAACTTTCCTCCTGGCATCTCTGATAGTTGGGGCTAAAACCTAGGCCACATAGACTGTTTCTATTGGCAGATGCAGCTTCATCTGTTATACCTTTTCTCTATCCAGAACTTTTGGTTAGGACTATATACTAGCATATATTTTGCTTAGTATATATGCATGTATGCCCAAATCTATTACAGTGTAACTGTCCAGCATTTAGAGTTAGCTTCCACATTTGCTTTTGCCTGACCAATTAGGTTTGATAATTATATAGAATACAAAACGTATTTGAAATTGTGGAGACCTTTTTTTTTAAAGGTTGAGTTTGAAGCCTAAACATTCTTTATAAGAATGGATTATCGAATTGGCCTTTATTTCTTAGATTTGTTTTTTCTAATTTTCCCTGCTATGCAACTTGCAAATTAAAGTTGATAGACAAGTTTTGTGTACCAAGTATATTTTTCTAATGGGATGCATAAATGTTGATAGTCTATTTCTACTAGCTTAAAGTGTACTTCTGCCCATACTATAGACATAAAGTGTTTTTTCATATCTTTAAGCAGTAAAAGACCTTTAAAGCAAGCCCTCAGAGCTTGTTTAGGCCATGTCTGTTGAGCTGCCTGTTTCTGCCCACCACCACCACACATGTATGGTGTAAACAGGGTACATAGAAAACAATTGTTTTTTCTTTGTAGTCTGCACACCACCATACATGTTTGATGGTGTGCAGAAAAACTCACCTCAACGGACGTGGTTTACACAATCCCTCACTGACCTTTTGCAGCTGCAGGTACTGTGCAAAAGCCAACTTCACAACAGAGGCTCTGAAGTTGCAGCTCTTCTCCCCTTGCTTCTTCTGCCAGCAATGGACTTGAAAGTCTGTCAGGTGTCTAATGTAAACCAGCAAGGCCTATAGGTTGCTATAAACTGACTGAACCCCAGCTTTAGAGTTTGTTGTAATCTTTGAGACTTGATCACTCTACAGTGCCTGCAGCTACTGAATTCAGTGAGGGTTTCTTTCAGGCTGGTTGGCAGTGGTGTGTAGCGATACCTTGTGTTATTCCACAAGTCACTGTTTTTATTACAAAGTGTGAATCCCGTTCAAAGGTCTCTGCATTGGAGCGTGGTGTGGTGGCCTTCAGAGCCATCTAGTGCACTGTGGATTAATGCAGCATGTCACACCAGCCTAGTTTAAATGAGGCGCACAGAAAACAATTGTTACGGTGACTGAGGCCACAATGCAGAAAAACGCAGCTGGTTTGAATGAGCCTGTGAAGTTTTTACTGCTTGTTAGGAATATGTAAATACTTAAAAGTTCATAGTTTGGGCACGGACGCACTTTCAGAAATTTTGTTTGTTTTCCCTGTCCTCTCCAAGCATAACAATGTGTCTCATTCATACCATAACTGGCTATTCTTTATTTTTTAATATTCTTCATGTTTAAATGTGCAGAAAATGTAAGTTTTTTCAGGATGAAAATTGAGTAGGTTACACTTAAAATGTGCAATGCTAGGTTTGTAAAACCAGAAATGATGTTCTTCTTTAGTGTATGGAGGTTTTTTGACCAGGTGAAGTGAAATGTCACTTTTATAATTCAGATTTTAGGTTGGAATTCTCATTTCATTATAGTAGATACCATGTTTTTCAGGAATCCTTTTGTACTCTCAGTGACGAGAGGGAGTTTGTTACTGTCCCTGCATTGCTGTATTGATTTGGAGTATTTGTGTTTACAGGCTACACAATAAAATATCATTGCTTACTTGCCACACTATACACCAAGGACAGGCAATAAAATGTTTGGTAGCGCTGAACTGCTATTTCAATAATACATTACAGTATGTAGTTTCCATTTGTTTTTGTAATAATGGGCAAAAAAGAGGGATGTTTATTGTCGTCATATAAATGGTTACAGCTTTTGTGTATTTTTGTTAAGCTTGCCTTTTGTACATTTATGTATGCATAGTTTATCAACATTGCAGCAGTGTTGCCATGTTCAGCTGATTTTGCCACTTTCTCAGTGACCGAATAGGGAGATGCCAATTATGTCTTAAATGACTTGTGCTTATTTATTTGTATTTTCATCATGGCAAGTAAAACAATTCTTAAAAAACTAGACTAACATTTTAAATTTAAAAAAATGCATACTTATGGTAAAGTCTGACATTCCACTATTTGACTCTGCCAGCACTTTAAGAACATACATACATATATCTATATATAGATATATAGAGATTATATATA